TACTGCTACTCAAAATAATGTAATATAGAGAGCGCATGAGATAGTGTTGATAAACGCCGTATTAGAAATACCAAATTGGCCATTCGATTGAGCTCAGTGCTATAAAATGCTACAATGTGAAGTGAAAGCTGAACTAAAGCTACGAAAATAAAACTTGCAGCTTTAACCAGGCTTTACTGTAGCTATATACATACGTGCCGTGTGCCGTGTGGCCTTTGGCTTTATAACAACCAAATGGAAAACTTAAAAAACGAAAAGAAAACAACAAAAAGGAAAAAAGAGAGAAGCGAAAAAAAAACATTTCAACTTTTGACAACAAAAGCGCCCCGAAAAAATAAGGGAAACGTGGAAAATTTATGGAATACGGAACGGAAAAGCGAAGAGCTGAAAGAGAATTGGAGATGAATATGGCCCCGGGGCAGCGAGGTTGCACGCAAGGCAAGCTGCAATTGTTTCACATGTGGCATGCCGCAAGCCTCTGCCACAAAATGCGCTCCCAGACTCAAGTTCACAATTTTTTCGCTACTTGCCGCGCCTGCATCTTGCTGGCAAATCGTTTCACTCAGGTAAATGCATACAGCGAAAGCATGAGTCGAGGCGAGGCGAGGCGAGTCGAATCGAGTCGAGTCCCGTCTCTCTAGCTATTCAGCTCAGCTTTTTTAGGTGGCCACACAAAGGACAACAATTGTTATTATTTCCATTGTTATTGTTGCTGTTGTTATTGTTGCTGTTGCTGTTGCTGCTGGCACAACAATGGCTGCGTGCATTAAGCATGCGATATCGATAGGCGATAAGCAATCGATTATTTAAATAACATTTGTGCTCTAGGCCGGGGGGCTTATGCTACAGCAAATGCCGAATGCTTGCGGCTCATACGGCCGCAAATGCGGGCAATCATGGGCACTGATGAGCCACAAGATACCCTAGGCAAGGGGAGAGCAACAAGTATTTGCCATATCATAGCTAAAGACTTGTCTAGGCATTCATTACCCTCTAAGCTAGACTCTCTCAAGACCCATAAATTTTGACATCGAATTGCCCATGTCAGTATACCAGCTATTGCCTAGCCCATATACCCAATGTATACCTTAGCTTTTATTGAGCTACAATCAGCTCATAATGCATGCAAATACATTGCTTAGGCTGTTTTTGTGATATGGCATGGCATTTAATCGAAAACTCCTTGATCTATGGCTTAACTTGTTGGGCAGCCCTCGCTGGCTAAACTACAAAATGGCCGCTAGACGCGTCTGCATATGCGTTCGTCTGTATTTTACAATTCAATGGGCGTCCATTTGCATAGGCACTCATGTATGTATGGTCCATGTAATTTCCTACCGCCCCCAACTGCCTCTCCTTCTATATATACATATATAGTTATCTCTCTCTCTCTCCTCCTGCCGCTCCGTCTCTACGGACAGGACACAAACAGCCGTTAAGCGGCTTTCGCTTTTGCCTTCCTGTCATAGACAACAACAATGCACAAATACAAAAAAAAAAAGACAAAAAAAAAAAGCAAAATCGTATGCAAAACAAAATAATAAATTCAAGTACATACTTGACTCGTATGATACCCTGTAGGGGCCCAGTTAGCAAATGAATTTTGAATGAAACGTTTAGATTTCTTGATATATGTATAAATTATACTGTTATGTTTTTAGTGTTCTATCTCTCTCTGTCTCTATCTATTTATCTTTATCTCTCTCTCTCTCTGGATCTCTCTATCTCTCTCCCTCTCTCTATCTGGATCTCTCTATCTCCCCATCTCGATCTCTCTAACTCTCTATCTCTCTATCTATCTATCTTTATCTCTCTCTCTCTCTCTCTATCTCTATCTATCTATCTTTATCTCTCTCTCTCTCTCTATCTCTCTATGTCTCTCTCTCACTCTCTCGATCTCTCCATCTCTTTCTCTGTCTCTCTCTCTTTGTCACTTTTCTCTCTTTCTCTTCCTATCTATCTGTCTCTGTTCAGATAAGCGATGCACTCTGATCACGTATGATTCAAAGTAGTCTGATAATTAATCGTGCTAAATATCGCTGAATATCCAAGTCCGATATATAAGTAGTCCATACTTACCACAAGTGTAGAGGCGTAGGGGTTAGTCGTGATATCGAAGGCGGTGCTCATAGACGATGACATTGTATAATCGGCTGATTCGCCTCGCGACTATTCCCAATGTGTATAGCACGGGAATCTTACATTTGTTAGCAACGAGTTTGTTTTGACTTCTGCGAAACTCGGAAAATTATGATGAAAAACAAGTTTGAAGCAGAGCTTTTGTTGATTGAGCTGAGCCACTATGGAGATATTCTTCTATTCGATAGGAGGATACAGTCACGGGTCGCAGATACCCTACTACTATTAAGGTCTCGTCCACCTCTCCATTGCCTGACACTGCTATTCGATAGTAACTGCCCTTCCTCTATACTCTATAGGAATTGTGTCCTTCTAAACAATGTGCTACGGCATATACCCTTCTGGTGCAAGCCCAAGCATGAATTACAGGGTAAAACCAATAAATGTCTGACTGAGCTATTGAGCTGACAATGGGCCCAGTTGGCGTTTGGAGAGCAGCACACACATAGACATTATTACAAAGTGTTTTTCTTTTACTCGTTTTTTTTTCGTTGTTTTTTTTTTCTCTCTCTCTCTCTCTCTCTCTCTCTGCCCGTTACCAAATGAGCGACGCATCAGCTCAGCTTTTCATTAACAAAGTGCAGTTTGCCAGTTGCCAGTTGCCAGTTGGCAGTTGCAAGTTGTAGTTGATTTCCTCGGGGTGTTGACGCTGCAAAACTTTTGCGAGTGTTGTGAATGGCTGTCGAGCATTGTGGCGGTTCGGGTCTGGGCTTGGAGCTGGGGGCTGGGGGCTGGGGGCTGAGCTTATGGCGGCGGGTGTTGGGTGATGGGCGATGGGCTTTTGTGGGTGTTGAGCTGACACTTTGCACATGGTCGTTGCGTCTGTTTGCTGACAATGAATTTAGATAAACTTGCGAAATTCGAAATGCAAACAGCATTTGCATTTGCATAAATTTATAGCAGCAATAGCAGACGGGCTGCCCCTCACCGCCGCACACCGAACACGCCCAGCTGCGCTTTGTCACGCCCCGGCAAAGATTTTGCATTCACACAGCGCTGCTTAATGCCAAAGTAAACGCAACGGCGACGACCGAAAACTTGTGCAACAGCTAAACTTAAGCGAGCCCTCAAGCACCAGATATATATAGTATATATGTATATGTATCTATCCAATACTAGATCCCTCGACCCCTCAACTGCCAGGTCCCTGGCCCGTGCAAACTTTACGCTGCTTTTGTATTTCAAAAAGCTTAAATTGAACGCTGTTGAAATTCCTTAAGGGTCTCTTAACCAACCATCTAACCAACTCTCTCTCTGGCCACCTACCGCACCGCCCCTGGCCTTATCACTCTGTCGCCCAGCAGGAGGCGCGAGCGTCTGCTCCTGAGTGCTGCTCGAGTAGCTGCTGGTAATTGCAAAGGTTTCGCAGCCGTTTGCAGCGGACAAATTAAGTTGGCTTTCAGCTCTACCTATATAGCTATAGCTATACCAATACCAATAGCTCTACCGCTGCCTCTGCCGTGACGGCTGCTGCTAAGGCTGCTGGCCAAGTTTAAGCATCAAATGCGATTTGGCTTAATAGTTTGCAACATTAAAAGTGCGCTCTCGCTGCCAGCCAACCAGTTGCACTCGCCGACCCAGAAGCCAGGCCGGGCCCCAGCACCGTCACTTTCTTTAATTAGCCAAATTGAGAGACAATTCAAGATGGAGAACGGGTGTTAAGGACCAACGCAGAGCGAGAGAGAGAGAGAGAGGGGGGGAGGACGATTGAGAGCGTGAGAAAGCAAGTGAGAAATGGTTTGAAAAATGAAAAGCGTGCCCAACTGCAGTTGACAGCCAGGCACATACCCTTTAAGAACTGGCAAAGGGGTGGCTTGATACATCATATACAAATATGTGATTGATTGATGGACTTACTGATGCCAGTTGACATCAGCATTCAGTGGAGAGCCTGACTAATGAGATACCGCTTAATTTCAACTAATAAGTGAAATGGAATGTGATTGATTGCACATGTAATTTATACCACGTCTTCATATTTGTTTGTGATTGATTGTGACTGATTGATGGACTCACTGTTGGTTGACATCAGCATTTAGTGCTCAGCCTGACTAATGAGATACCTCTTAATTGCACTCTTCCAAACTTATTTAGGTTGATCAACGAATAAGTGAATTGTAATGTGATTGAAGATTGCATTTATGCATTTACTATATGATTGATTGAGTGACTGATTGATTGATTATGATCTGAGGAGTTTGATGGTGACAGCTTGAGTTTGAGTTGATATTAATATCAGGTATTCCAGCAGACTGAGGCTGAGCCAATACTGATGAGATGACCAGAGTAGACTATAGTGATTGATTGCTTATGATTGACCATACATGATTTCTGGTTTAAGCTTAAGAAACTAGACTAAAATTACTATAAGCTATTATTATATATTAATTATAAGTAAGTGTAAATATAGGCATTTCCAACGAAAGCATATACCCTTAGTCAAAGCTATCGACAGAGATACAATAGCCAATCTATGCACTTACAGGGTATTTACAGTTGAGTATTGAATACAAATTCGTCATTGAATAAGTGCAGCTATCATGTATTTGATTGAGTGATTGATTGATTGATAATGGTTCTATGAATTGGATGGGAACAGCTAGAGTTTGAGTTGATATTAACATCAGGTACTCCAGCAGACTGAGGCGGATCCAATACTGATGAGATGGTACTCTATAGTGATTGATTGATTATGATTGATTGAACAAACATTATTTCTAGTTTAAGCTTGAGAGACTAGACTAAAATTATATAAGTAAGTGCTTGCTATAGGGAATTTTCAACAAAATAGTACCCAATCTATGGCCTGACAGGGTATTTACAATTAATTATTGAATTCTAATTTCTTGAACTTGCTTGCAGATGTATGCGATTACACGCCAAGCGAATTTACTGACTCGCCTGGGCGATCTGGAATGCCTCATATTGCTCGTATCCTGCATTTGCCACGATCTCGATCATCCTGGCTACAACAACATCTATCAGATCAATGCACGCACCGAACTGGCACTCAGGTAAGGCACCCCGTATACCGATATAGATATAGATATATACATTTAGGTATATGTAAATCGTTTTATCTTCCCCCATTTGCTTGCAGATATAACGATATCTCGCCGCTGGAGAATCATCATTGTTCGATTGCATTCCGTTTGCTGGAGCATCCCGAGTGCAATATATTCAAGAACTTTAGCCGTGACACATTCAAGTGAGTATTACCAGTCAGGAAAGTTGGCGCAGGGCACTGGGCACCGGGCAGCGGGCGAAGGGCATTGGGCAATGGGGATTGGATCAAATGCGAGCTGGCAGCCAGCAATTTAATTGCCAACTTTGCTTGAGTCCATTTTATGCGCGGCACGTACAAAATGATGTTGCATTAAACGTCGGCACCGTTTGCCGTTGCTCTAATTAACACCCAACACGGACGGAGTGGACAGAGTGGACGGAGTGGACGGAGTGGACGGCGTGGACAACATGGCCAACAGCTGCAACAGCTGCCACCTGGCAGGCTTATCGATTTGCTGCTCAACTCAGCTGAAGCAGTTAACTCAATGGCTCTCTCTCACTCACTATATATATGTATATATTTCCCTCTCTCTCTCCCTCTCTCTCTCTGTCGTCTTTGCTGCCTCAGCTTATTGCATTCTATGCAATTGTATGCGACACCCTTTTGGCACACGATGACACTGTGAACGGGCACGCAGCAGACAAAGGTGGAGCAGCTGGGGCCGGCTGGGGCCGGTTGGGGCAGGTGCTCAGGCAGGGCAACAGCAAACCGATTTAATACTCACAAATTGCAGTTAAGCTGCTTTTTGAAAATACTTATAAAAGAAATGCGCACATTATTATTGAAACATTTTTGCGTAAACTCAATTTGATTCGGATTCGGACTCTGAATCTGAATCTGATTCTGATTCTGAATCTGATTCTGTGGCCTTTCAATGCGAATATCGTGCCAAAAAGGAAATATGAGATAAAGAAAATGCGACTGTAGCAGGAAAATAATTTTTATCCTGTTGCCGGTCAATTTGACGGCATAATAAAATAACCCTTGGGAATTTATTCAGCTATAGATCTTGGGTGTTTAAAGCTAGGCAGGCTCTACATTTATATTTATATCGCCTTCTTTCCAAGTCTCTCTATTTGCTATCTCTCTATAAGTTTCTCTCTCTTATTCTCTATTTCTGTTTTTCTTTCTCCCTTTCTCTTCATCCATTACCCCCTTGCTCTTTATCTCTCTCTCTCCCCACATTCGCTCTCCCTTTCCTCTTATCTACCTCTCTCTCTCTCTTTGTCACCTTTGATCTCTCTTTCCCATTCACTATCTCTCTCCCTCCTTCGTTCTCTCTTTTCCCTTGTCTATCTCTCTCTCTCTCTCTCTCTCTCTCTCTATCTCTCTGTTTTTTCCCTCTCTATGCCCTTCTCTCACTATCTGTCATTCACTCTCCTTTAGTCCCCTATTTCAATCTTATTCTCTGCCTTTGCTCAGCATTTACTTTTCATCTCACTTTCTCACTCTCCCTCTCTCTTTCTCTCTCTCTCTCTGTCTCTGTCTGTCTTCTTTCCCTGGACATTATTGTCTACAGTATTTTCTTTGACACCTCTCTACCTTGATTTGGCATCCCACGACAAAGCTCCGCTTCTTTCCTGCAACATTCCTTCCCTATCTCTCTCTTTCCCTCGCTCTCCGACCTTCTCTTTCAACCTTGCCTTTCTGAATTCGCTTTCCCCTCGATTATTGCACTCAATCAGTCAGCTGCCTATAGACTCAATGCAATTTTACATGACTCCATATTACAATTACGAGCAATGCATGATTCCAGGCTTTATGCTAGCTACAATCCTCAAATCCTCAAATTCCAAATTCCAAATTTCGAATTCAAAATTTCAAATTGCATTCAACCTGTCAGCGATGATGGAAGTGCGTAAAAATAATGCATTTCTCGCTTTCAATTCAATCAAAATGCGCGCACAATACACAAAGCATATCACACACACACACACACACACACACGCACACTCAGATAGGTAGAGCTATAGTCAACACCCCCTCCCACCCTCCTGGGGAGGCTATGTCGATAATTCCTGATTGGACAATAGCTGAATTCTAGGTCTGCAGCCTAATGCCAGCGTGAATTCTAATTAGATACTCCATGGCGTGGTATTGTGATGCAAATTGATGCATTCACGGGATGACAACAAATTCCATGAATAACACAATAACGGGAAATATTATGTGGTAGCTCTGCTTTAGCAGCATTCCAAGGAACAGCTCATGCTTCAGAGCATACAAATTTTAATGCAAATGCCAGCCATTATGATGTTTTCTTCTCCTGCTGCCTTTCCTGCTGCTGCTGCTTCTCCTGCTTCTCCTGCTGCTGCCTCTGCTGCTTTTAATGGAACTATAAACTATTGCTCATACCAATTAGCTGGCGACCCTCGGCGCTGGCTACTTTAAGCTTATTATACCCTCGAAGCAGCGCACTGGCTGCAGCGGGTCCATCGCCGCTTTTGGCTTTTGGCTTCTGATTAATTGGCTTAATTCTTGTGTTGTGTGCATAAAGCGCACTTTCTGCACTCATTGCAGCGCTTATATATTACAAAATGCTGCAAACATTAATTAGCCGGATTAGTTGGCTGCAGGCGAAAATGTTTTTTATGCTGAATTGCGAGCGGGTGTTGGCTGCTGCGAGGGCGGCACCCAAAGTAGTCGAAATGACAGTGTAAATGCAACTGAAATCAACGGTAAAGTCGTAAAGTCCGGCTAAGGCACCTCAGTGGCCTCAATGCTGCTTTCTATAATCATAGATTGCTCACCTCATAATGTCCATCTATCTATTGACTTAAGATCCTGAAGAGCTTACTCCTGCTTACTCCTGTCTTAAGAGGTCTCACAAGCATTGCTTGAAATGTATTAAGGCCGTCCTCTCTCGAATTTACCTAGTCTAAATTGCAGACATTTTTTTCATAAGCAATCTAGCGGCTTTATGTTATCGATAACTCGAGCAGCTGCTGAAATATTGTTATCGAAAAGAATGCCCTACCAGTCCCTTCTTCCTTTCTGCTTCTGGAAATGTTGCACAAATTCATTGCCAACATTCACGTGGAATTGGAAACTTGTGGCACGACCCTCGTTGAGTGGCATGGGCGTGGACATGCCCATCATCATCATTAGCAGCCGAATTATCATTAAGATTGGCATTAGCATTACCATTAGCATTATCGTCATCAGAAGCTGCGAAGGCTGAGTGCACCTCCTGCTCCTGCTGCTCCTGCTTCTCCTGCTCCTGCTGCTGCAGTGGTATTGGCAGCTCCAACGCCTTCTGCTTCACTGGCGAACCGCACTTAGAGTTTGGCACGTTCGAGAGTCCCGGCGTAGGGCGTCTTCACAATGTTTTGCTGCCAAGTTTGCGTGCATAAACTGATGCATACTTTTGGGAGTTTCTAATGGCAAAACTTGCCAGAATGCCACATGCACACACACACGCACACACACACACACACACACATACAAACAGTGGCCTTGGAAATGCTATGCACCAGCTGCAGCAGTCGGAGCAGCAGCAGCAGGAGTAGCAGGAGCCGGGAGTGCCAAGAGCTTGCCAAACGATGCCACATGATACTCTTTGCCTATTTGTACGCTGTCTAACCGTGCATAAACATGCCTGCAGTCAACATCATATATTGTTTATGCATTCTCCACTCTCCCTCACACTCTGCGGCCCTTCCTCACGCTCTATCTCTCTCTCACTCCGTCTGTGCAGTGGGTGTGTATTACCATGTTGCCACAAGTCATAATCAACTGGGAATCATCTCAAATTCCTCTTCTTTGGAAGTACTTTTGAGGGCATTCCGAAAAAATGAATGATGATCTACGATATACGATATACAATATACGATATGCGTTGCATTATCTACTATCTACTATCTACTATCTACTATCTACTATCTACTATCTACTATCTA